ATCATTGGTAACTTTGTGCCTTGAACTCTGGACTATGCTTTTGGATCTTGGACCTGGATTTGTTGGTGAAATTCTGTGCATTTACGTCTCTTGGAATGGGCCTACTTGCTGCCGAAAATTGTAGGAATGATGGCTTTAAATCTTGGACTGCCTCTGACTACTCTTAGCAAGTAAGGCTGTGGATTGTGAAAGGTTTGTACAAGGGGATGCAGTCAACCAAATAGCCTGGACCTGAACAGTTTAGGGCTTTAAAGGTCATAACCAGCATTTTGAATTATGTCCGGTAACAGAGTGGCAGCCAGTGGAGCTGCTGCAACAGGGGGGTTGTCTGCTCCTTGTAGCCAGCCCCAGTGAGCAACATGGCTGCAGATCTCTGGAACAACTGAAGTTTCTGAGCAATCCTTAAAGGCATCCTCACATAGAGTGTGTTACAGTAATCCAGAAGGGATGTAACCAAGGCATGCACCACCATGGCCAGATCTGGCTTCTTAAGGAACAGGAACAGTTGGTGCACAAGTTTTAATTGTGCAAAGGCCCTCCTGGCCACCGCAGATACCTGGGTGTCCAGGTTCAGCACTGAGTCCAGGAGGACCCCCAAACTGCGAACCTGTGTCTTCAAGAGGAGTGTAATCCCATCCAGCACAGGCTGGATCCCTATTCTCTGGTCTGTCTTCCAACTGACCAGAAATAAGTACAGTCTTGTCTGAATTAAGTTTCAATTTGTTTTCCCTCATCCAGTCCATTACTGATGACAGGCACTGGTATAGGGTCAGGATAACTTCCTTGGCATTAGGTGAAAAGGAGAGTTGGGTGTCATCCACATATAAGTGGCACTGTACTCCAAAACTCCAGATGACCTCTCCCTGTAGTTTTATATATATATAGATGGGGGACAGAAGCTCATGCTAAAATAAAACTAGTAAATGTTAAAGATGCTATCAATCCTCCACACACACAAACAAACACACACACACACAAACTCCTTTTTATGTTCTACAAAGGTTCAATGAACTGTATTTTGGGACTGAAAACACTCCATCAGCCTGAAGAGAGTAGGGGAGATGATGAGCAGGGTTGTCTGTTGAAAGACCAGATTCCTTTGGTCCTGCCCACAAAAGTCACCTAGAAGCAGCCATCCTCATAAAGCCCTCTGATCTCTTTGCAGCCAAGCTGGTCATTATAAAGTTTGCAACTTTAAGAAGTGCCACTCATGCATTCTTCCCACCCTTCTCTCCCCAGCATTTTGCCTTGTGTGTCATATGTTTTAGATTGTAAGCCTGAGGGCAGCAAGCTACTGAAGTATGCAAGCTCCTCCAGGAACCTCTGTGGCTAAAGAGGAGGTCAAAAATGCCTTGCATAAATACATGAGTCAGACAGTTTTAAAAAATGTTTTTGAAGCAAACCACATACTCCACCACACTATAAAAACCACTATGGCAAAAATCAAGAAACTTTTAATACAAAATATTGCAGTAAGGAAAAGTCGTGACTGTTTGAATTTAGTAAACAGGCTGCAACATGGCAGTATCACATCAAGTGTATCGCAGAAGAATCAATTGATTGTTACTTTGATTCTTGGGAGTCGGAAAAAATATGCTCTGGATCTACGTAAAATCTTACATTTTGCTTTGCACGAACTCTCATATATACACATATTTTAATAGACACTGGATTACAATGTTAGATCAAAACAAAGACCCCCATCTACACAGCCATTATAATGCAGATTGATCTGTGTAGACTCACATAATGCAGTTTAACCGAACTAGATCATATGATCATATAATCCAGTTTCACTCTGTATTATAATGGCAGTGTAGATGGGGCCAAAGTTAGCTGAACAAAGGAAAAATCCTAGACCTTTCAGTGGGGGACTCAGGCCCCTTCTACACTGCCATAAAATCCAGATTATCTGCTTTGAACTGGATTATATGGCAATAGACACATTTAATCCAATTCAAAGCAGATAATGTGGATTAAGAAGGGTGGCATATAAATGTCGTAAATAAATAAATAAACCGGATTATATGGCAGTGTAAAAGGGGCCTCAGAAGGTACCTTCAAGAGCTGTTCTTTCAAGTGTCAACTAATACTTTCACTGTGAAAACAAAGTATTGTTCTATCTCATTGCTTGGAGAATGAGATAGAACGGAGTGGGGGTGAATGATGTTAGAAGAAAGGGGCTTCAAGGACCATTATACCATCCATCTTTGGAACCTTGGGATAAATCCTACTTTCCCTCAGAGCCTTATAACACAAGTGCAGTGTTACTGTATGACTATGTTAGAACACATTCCAAAGAGTACCACTCTTTCATCACACCTGTTAAAGTAAACACTAAAAACAATTTGCATTGATTTAACTACTCTAAGGGATTAACAACTATTTAGTTGTTGCTGACCAATAGCACTTAATCACGTCATGGGATGCAGCTGTTTACCAACCAGGATGCCATTACCGCCGCACCCCTGCTAAGCCATCAGACACACACCCCTTCAATGGGGGGGGGGGGAGAATTAAGCAAGCCGAGTCTAGTGCCCATGCAGCAACAACAACTAAGCAGTGTAACAAGGAATTTGAAACCCTATCAAAACCCAATGATCTGACATTACAATGCTGTATTCCAGGAATCCTCAAACTAAGGCCAGATGCGGCCCTTCAAGGTAATTTACCCGGCCCACGCTCAGGGTCAACCTAAGTCTGAAATGACTTGAAAGCACATAACAACAATCCTATCTCATCAGCCAAAAGCAGGCCCACATTTCCCATTGAAATACTAATAAGTTTATATTGGTTAACATTGTTCCTCATTTTAATTATTGTATTTTAAGTGTTTTTACACTACAAATAAGATAACATAAATATCACAGATTAACTCCTGGTTGTTAACACACAAGCAGGTGCAAACTGTAGCACAATCTGGAAAATATTTGGAGATGATCACAGGTTCCCCCCGCCCCCCTTCTCAGACAACGATCTTCAAGGCTCTTGTATAGTGTCACAAAGACCTACTGCCATAGGAATAATCTCACCAAAATTGACATATGATGGTGCTTGGTGTTTTTCCATTTGCAACCACTAAATTTATGCTTTGGGCAAGATTTGTAGGAAGAACTCCCAAAGGGAGACACAGACAGACACAGAAATTGGCTGAACGGACAGTGAAGCCCAAGAGATTTGCAGGATTTTTTGGAGGCAACGCTGATGGATTCACTCCAGGAGTTGAGTGTGACATCTGTAAATTTCACAGGCATATAACAGGGTTGGGAGGACAATAGTTTTATAAACAAGCACCTTGGTGTCCCTATGAATGTCCCGATCCTCAAACACTCTCTGCTTCATTCAGAAAAATGCTGCACTCGCAGAGCTCAGGCGGTGTTGAAATCTGTGCTACAGTAGGCTTCAAATCAGATGAGAATAAAAAGCCCAGTTCATGTACCACTCCAAATTTTGCTGTGCACAGCTCACTATCAAATAAGCAGTGCTTTAATAAAGGCAATGAATAGGTCTTTCACAGGATTGAGATTAATATAATCACCTACTAATATCTGCAGTTGCTTATGAAGACACACACAGAAACAAGTATTTGAAAAAAGGGGGGTAAACTGGGACAAGTAACATAATGTTTTGTAAAGAATCCATAGCAGAGTAACAAACTAGGACACAGAGGACCAGAGATTTTAAAACAGCATACGTCCAGCCCAGTCTACCTGTCCGAACATATCGCCCTCTATGAATCATCAAGGAGGTTAAGATCATCCAGGGAGGCCTTGCTCTTGGTCCCACCACCTTCGCAAGTGTGACTGGTGGGGACGAGGGGCAGGGCCTTCTCAGTGGTAGTCCTTCGGCTGTGGAATTCCCTCCCCAATGAGATCAGATTAGCCCCCTTCCTTCTATCCTTTCAGAAAAAACTCCAAATGTGATTTTGGGATCAAGCCTTCGAGCAGTAGATGCAGCAACTAGACTGAGAGTGATTTTATGTGATTGGAAATGAACTGACTTTGGATTATGATTCTGAACCGGCAGAACTTGTTTACACAATTGCTTTAATATTTGATTTTAACTGTTGTTTTAACTGTAACTGTTTTAGAATTTGTGTATTGGCATCAAATAGCTGCCTGTTGTGAAGCAGCCCTTGAGTCCCCCTCCAGGGGTGAGAAGGATGGGGTATAAATGCATGAAATAAATAAATAAATAAATAAATGTAAAGGTGTGACATACTTCAGGGACATTTTTTACAAGGTGAAAATCTTACAAAAGAAGATCAAATGCCTAACACCTACTTGTGTTTCTGTGATCCTATATAAGGTGTCAAGATCTGTTGAGGTTAATAACAGAAAACCAAATTAATTTTAAAACTGGTTTCTATGTGTTTTCAGCTTTTTAAAGAGAAATCTATCTAGGGTTTCTTTCACAATATTGCAACACGATCTACTAGAATTTCACCAAGGCGATCTGTAAAGAAAAGAATGTAACCCTGAATGATATTGGTTCCATTTATTGTACATCTCCCAAAGTGCTGAATCAAACAAACAGAGAAGAAAACCACATCAATCATCTCACAGTGATTTAAAAAATGAAGAATCTAAAATAATTCCAAGTTCACCCACACATCAAGTTTTGCCAGACCCTGCAAGTCTAACACCAACCTTTTCCAAATGGCCTCTTTTAGTGTTCAGAGGATCGTCACGTGCTTTTGACCATAATTTCTCAGGTTACTGTAGACAACCAAAGAAAACAAAGGCCGCACACCTGTGAGTACAACGCTTGGGTGCCTCACCTATAAGACAACAGCATTTACAGTGGTTTTAATAAGCTACTAGAGTATAAAGGTATAGATTACATCTTTCCAGACCCAAGATTCCAAGCAAACCATATACATCTGCCAGTGTTTGGGGTTTGGAAGGCAAACTGCTCATGTGTTATCTATGAAATCCAGATGGAAATTCCTGCCTTCGTGCACAGATCTAAGTGAAAAAATGGTCTAGCAAAATCCTTACCTGTGAAAGTATTTGTGGCCTGGAAACCAGCTTCCTGCATACTGCTCTCCCGGTAAAGCTTGTGATTCCAGTCTTAACCTGTCCTTTGCAGAGGCAACGTCTAGAACTGAAGCTGTCAAGTTACTTCCATCTTTGCTGTTCAATATCAATTTCTTCTCTCCAGTAGGACATTTGGCATAGCTACTTCTGCCAAGGTGTGGAAAGGATATGTGTGAGTTTGAAAATGCAAGTGCAACTCAGGTGCCTCAGCTGTCCAGCCAGAGAATTTGGGCCATGATGTGCATGTAACCAACAGCAGTCATTCCAGACTTGTCTTGTTAAATTTTAGTTCTAATCCTTTGCTTGGAAAACATGATTGGATTTTGTTGTTCGTTTGCTTGCTCACTTTCCAGATTTGGTCTTCACGTTTCTTCCTTGGGCTTTCCCTTCCCTTTAGGCAACCTGAGAAAGGAAAAAGGAAAAAAAATGTGTTCTGGTAACTTATAGCAAGATTCACAACATTCAAGGAACAAAACCACCCATGTGTGCACGCCCGCACAACCCCATTTAGTAGGGATTGATAGCACACATTAAAGGAGATCTTTACAAGGAAAATATGGCAATTTTCCTGAGATGCAAAGTGTGACCGTACAATCCTTTGAAATGCAAAGAGAGACAGCACTGAAGATGTCAATATGCATTTCTGAACATGATATGATTTACATTTCAAAAGGCGCATTTAGTAAGGATGGGGGAAGCAGTACAATAACAAAATTGCAGTTAAAAGGGAAAAAATAAAAACACCCAGGCCCTCAAGTCTAATTTATAATTATCATTTTATCAGGTCTCGTCAGTACCATTTTATAAAACTATATTATGAAACACAAAGCTAAACATGACACAATGTACTTCAACCATTTATGTTTCAGAAATAAAATCCCGAAGAAATTGCATATAGCAGACCAAAGAATTCTCAATTTTCTTACAATCCACGTCATTAGAATCAATTTTCAGTAAGAGTATCATCTGTCACTATTATTTCAGATATTATTAAAACCAAGCCAAATATGAATACAACAACAATAACAACAGAGAATTGGTCGTCTGCAAAGACGTTGCCCAGGGGATGCCCGGATGTTTTGATATTTTACCATCTTTGTGGGAGGGTTCTTTCATGTCCCCGCATGAGGAGCTGGAGTTGACAGAAGGAGCTCAACCCGCCCTCCCTGGATTAGAACCACTGACATATTGGTCAGCAGTCCTGCCAGCATAATAATTCAATAAAATTTGGCTATTTCAATGAAATAGCAAACAATTGTAAGTATAGAAAACACAACCACTCCAAGTTATCAGGTTTATAATAGTCAGCTTTCCCCAGAATGTCTTGGAGGTACCACAGTTCCTTGAGATCCCAGTAATAACTGCAAATGTTAGCCACAGTTTAGAAAGAAAAATAAAATTGCATCTTCTCTCCTGCTTTTTCTTTGGTCAAAATGCCCATGAACATTCTTAGATGCAGGGTAGTCTAAAGGGGGATGTGGACATTGCATTGGGCTCAGCTTCAGGCCATGACAGTACAAAAAAGGGAAAGGTCCGCAAATGCCATGGCCATTCATCATCTGATAATCTGATGACAAATTCTTTGGGAAATATCAGCTGTGTCAAGTCAAATAGTCTTCCAGGGAAGAGAGATTGATACTTTCAGTATTGTCATTCCATGCTTTCAATATGGCAAGTAAAAAAAAAAAGTAACTATATATTCCCTAGGGCAAAAGTTTATTGTTCCAGGGGACTGAGAATGGCCACCAAAGTGTACATCTTGTTTACAAAACTAACCAGAAGTCTCATAATAATGAAGCTTCTACCAATTCTGTCCATCTTTAGGATGTTAAGGGCCTTCCTAAAACACCTAAAGGCCCCTCAACATCTACATTAACAAATGAGGGGTAATATCGAAATATAAAAATATTTTTTTTATAATTGCAAGAAACTATGTATGGAAAAACCCGACCCACCAGGATTACAGCATGATGTTGGGATACATATTAACCTTTTATTTCAAAACAGGTACTTCATAAACACTATTAACATTGCTTGGGCCTCCTGGTGGCGCAGTAGGTTAAACTGCTGAGCTGCTGAACTTGCTGACCGAAAGGTTGGCGGTTCGAATCTGAAGAGCAGGATGAGCTCCCACTGTTAGCACCAGCTTCTGCTAACCTAGCAGTTTGAAAACATGCAAATGTGAGTAGATCAATAGGTAGCACTTCTGCTGGAAGGTAACAGCGCTCCATGCAGTAATGCTGGCCACATGACCTTGGAGGTGTCTATGGACAATGCACACTCTTTGACTTAGAAATGGGGATGAGCACCACCCCCCAGAGTTGGACATGACTAGACTTAATGCCAGGGGAAACCTTTACCTTTACCTTTATTAACATTGCTCATACAATAACTATAAGTCGTTGTCATAATGGCAAATGGTAGAACATAAGTACAAAAAACATTAAGAAATGAGGACAATTAATAGGCTTTATTTCTGATTATTCATTAGGGCTGAACAATGGTGCCACACACATACACACACCCCGTTTATGGAGACTATATAAACATAATAAAATGTTCTAAAGGACATGAAAATTGTGGCCTAAATCCAATCACTGCTCCCAGATTAGGCAATTACAACATTGCGATTTCATTTTAACTCTTAGGTTCCTACTGGGATTGGTAGTTTGGAGAGATCCTAAAGTTCAAAGAACCACTTTCAAAACTGGAAAGGCCAGGATTTCACAGGATGCTACCAAGGGAATTAAAATGAAATGATGGCACTTCAACTGTGTGGTATGAAATGGTCCCAGGAGTAATATGCATACGGTCCTCCAGATGCTGTTGACTTCAACAGTCATTGCCAATATAACTAATGGTAATGAGTGCTGGAAATTGCCAATGAAAAGCATATGAAAGGCTGCAAACCTCCTGCTACAATTTTAGACCATGAGTTCTTAAATGAATGCCACCAGTCTTCTAAATCAAGAATAAAAAGTGCCAGGGCCTGCCCAAATTCAACAGCGCTTGTGAAACACTGAGCAATCCAAAAGCAATTACCAATAGCTTGAAAAGACAGCCTTTGTTCTAACAAAAGAAACCCACTTACCTACACTGAACTGTAAGCAGAACCTAGTTTTCTAGACATAAGCTACTCTGATGGAGTCTTCTCATTGGTTGAATGGAGAGAAAAAGAAAAGGCAGACATGCTTCCTCCATCAAGTTGCTTTACCGAGTCAGGTTTTCCTCTTGAAAATGAAAACACCATATGACAGACTTCCAATGCAGAAACATTTTGAAAGCAAGAAGAAAGAAATATTTCACCCTCTTCTGGCTCAACAAGATCCAAGTAAAAATATTTACAACATGTAAAGCATGGAAAACGTAAACCAAACATTTATATTAGACCTGTAGTAGATGGAAGAAAGATGAAGAGAGGAAACGAGGATTTCCTGCACCTCTTGATGTTTAAGAATCTACCTGCAAGCCAAAACATCCAAAGGAAGAAAAGCAGGCTTAAAAAGGACTCTGCCAGTACCATCAGTCATTATGTGCAACAGCTACGCTTCCAAATATATCTCCTTTATGCTGAACAGAGAAGAGGGCAGGTAGTTGCTCTGACTTCAATTCTAATTCAGGATGCCATGATAAAAACTGGAGCTCTTCAGGCAAGATTTGCTGAAAGGCAAAATTCTGCCTCTCAAGAATAATCTTGTTTAACAAGCCTGTTCTTGGGGAAAAGTAAAATACATACAACATGTTTAATTGCATTAGGCCACAAACATAGGTCAGTGGTAGGGCACATGAAAAGGACCTTTAAGTAGGGCTGAAAATAGTCCTGCCTGAAAGACTAGACCAGAGGTCCTCAAACTTTTTAAGTGGGGGGCCGGTTCACGGTTCCTCAGACTTTTGGGGGGGGGGGCAACTATAGTTTGATGAAAAAATGAGCTGATTCCTATACACACTGCACATATCTTATCTGTAATGCGATAAAAAACCAATGAAGGGCAAAACAATATTTTAAATGAAGAACAATTTTCACCAACATAAACTTACCCATCTTTCAATGGGAACTGTGGGCCTACTTTTGGATGATGAAATAGTCAAGTTAATTAGGATTGTTGTTGTGTGCCTTCAAGTAATTTCAGACTTAGCGCAAACCTGTCTAAAGTTTAGGGCAGGGGTCAGGTAAATGCCCTTGGAGGGCCGCATCCCGCCCACGGGCCTTAGTTTGAGCACCCCTGGACTAGACAGATGGATGTCAGTTATGTACCTTAAACCACTGCTTCTTGAACGGTGGATCCCAACTCCAAATGGGGTCCTCTTTGCTCAATGTTGGGGTCTCAAAAATTGGCAACAATAAAACTTTTCTGAATGTCTCATAGTGACTGTTGTAAACATTACCATAGTGACTGTTGTAGACATCAAAACCCTTTACGGTTCCGGTCCAGTGTATCTGTCTGAACGTATCTCCCTCTATGTCCCACCCCGGAATCTGAGATCATCTGGGGAGGCCCTGCTCTCGACCCCACCGCTATCACAAGTGAGGCTAGCGGGGACGAGGAGCAGGGCCTTCTCAGTGGTGGCCCCCCACCTGTGGAACTCACTGCCGGGGGAAATCAGGGCATCAACATCCCTCCTTACCTTCAGGAGGAAGGTAATGACGTGGTTGTGGGACCAGGCCTTTGGGCAACCTGACAATTAGATACGGAAACCAGATGGATAGGACCGAAAGGACTGACAATTGTGGAAATTGGGATTTAAACTATGAGACTGTGAAACGCTGACCATCAATGAAGTTTGTAATGGTTTTATCGCTTTTATTGCTTTTACTGGTTTTATGGTTGTTTTTGCCGATAATAATTATTGTTTTCTGTTAATTGTTGTTATTGCTAAAATTGCTGTTTGTTAACTGATGTTATTGTCCTTTGCTGTTATGTAATGCGGGCATCGAATTGTGCCTTGTTTTTGTAAGCTGCCCTGAGTCCCCCCCCCCCCCGGGGTGAGTTGGGCGGGGTAGAAGCAACCAAAATAAATAATAAATAATTACATGAATCTGTTGTGCAGTGTTTACAGTGGATTCTGCAGAAGATGCTTCAGCTGTACTTCAAAAAAGGAAAATTAACTTGTTTAGCAAGCTTTGGAAATGTTGATTTGTTATCAGTAAATACTTGATTTTTATACCTATTTTATATATCAGGGTCACCTAAAAATTTCTCACGCCAAAAGGGTCCCGAGTAGAAAAGCTTAAGTAGCCCCGCGTTAAAGAATATTAAGCTACATGAACTCTGCTTGTGCAAAAGGTAGTCTCCTACAGAACAGTTTAATGAGCAGACTCTGGCTCCACACGTACTGAGAAATATTCACAGAAATTCATCACTTCCTGGAAAGTTGGATGCACAAAGGGTGCAAAAGTGCAT